TATCATCATCATCATCATCATCATCATCATCATCATCATCATCATCATCATCATCATCATCATCATCATCATCATCATCATCATCATCATCATCATCATCATCATCATCATCATCTCACTGCAATTTGCGTGCTTGCAGCTGCAACAGCTGTTCACGACCAAGTCGCTGTTCCGCTCGGCCAAGCTTGCGCCCAAGATCTCGCCCGTGTACATCGTGGAAGTGCTCACCAGGAGCAGCGCTCCACAGCAGGTTGGGTTGTGTGTACGCGTGCGAAAAGGACAGAGAGAAGGGGAAGAGGAAGCAGGAGACGGAAAAGGAGGCCAAAACGACGGCAGGTGACGCACACATTCACAAAACATGACACACACACACTTGACAGGAGTTGGCAAAGTACTTGTCGCTGGTGAAGGATGCAGCAGTGCGCTTCCGTCTTGCCAAGGCTGCACAGTGCCACGACTCGGCCATTGACGTGAGTCTCACCTACAATCTCAACTGCGCACACGCACATTGACACGCACACAAGTCCATAGAGAGACAAACCAAGCACAAGGACACACACACACCACAAGCACATGCATACCCCAAGGATATGGACACACACACACACATACACACACACACATACACAACACATGCAACATGAACACATGCACACCAACATCAACACATGCACGTACGCATGTATCCCCTTCTCTCACATCCACGCTCGTGGCTGTGCTGCTGCAACTCAAACACCACCACCACCACCACCCCCCTCAGGCGTTGGTTGAGCTGAGGGATGTGGATGGGTTGCGTGCGTATGGCTTGCGGGATGGGGTGGCTGGCAACCGCGCCTTGACTGCTCGCATCTCCTCCCTCTTGCGCAGCGACCCCAAGCGATGGGCTTAGCCTAGATTGCAACACCATAAATTGATCAACACAAAAACCTGCTAAACACGTTTGAGCGGACGACGCGGCGGCTGGCAGTCGAGAAGAAGAAGAAGAAGAAGAAGAAGAAGAGAGCAGGAGAAGCGAAGCACCACCAACACACCCCACACCAACCCGAGAGATGAGCAGTGGCAAGTCTTCTTTGGGCGGTGGGGCGATGCGCGCCACGCTGAGGCGAAAGAACACAGAGATGGTGGCCCCTCACGCTGCAGCCAGTGGCAGTGCGCAGGCGGAGGTGGAGCTTGTGCCGACCTCTCCCAGCCTGCCGCGCGTTCGTGTGCGAGGAGGACCGGCAGATCCCATCTGCATCGGCCGATCGGAAGGTGATGGATGCCTCAAGTGTCGTTCGTGTCTTCGTGCGTGTGTTTGTCAACAATGTTCATTTGGCTGGCTGGTGGGCTGATTGTGCCGCGCGCGTGTGTGTTTGATGTACAACAGCAGCAGGCACACTCGTACTGCCGCTCGTAGGCACTTCGTATTGCATACGACACACTGACACACATGCGCCTTGTTCCCAACTGTCCTTTTTCTGTCCATCCTTGCAGCATGCGATACGACCATTGAAAACCCATACCTCTCCGGCACCCACTGCCACCTCAAGTTGTCGGATGGCAAGCTCTTCCTCAAAGGTGTGGTGTTGTGTGGTGTGGTACTATGTTGTATGGTGTGTTGAACGTGCGTTTGCGTGCGGGGTGGTCTTGCGCTTGTACTTGACACTCCTCAATCTTCTCTGCACGTCGGCGTTTTGCGATTCAGATACAAGCTCCAACGGCACGCAAGTGGAAGGAAAGCTGGTGCAGCGTGACGCCTGGACAGAAGTGAAGCGTGGCGACGAAATCACCCTCGTCACAGAGACACCCACCACAGCAGCGGTATGCGTGTGTGCGTGTGCGTGTGCGTGTGCGTGTGCGTGTGCGTGCGTGTGTGTGTGTGTGTGTGTGTGTGTGTGTGTGTGTGCGTGTATGTGCGCGCGTGTGTGTGTGCGTATGTGTGTGTGTGTGTGTGTGTGCGTGCGTATGTGTGCGTGTGCGCGTGTGTGTATGCGTTTCATTGGGGGGGGGGGAACTTGTGGAAATGTTTGGTCTCTGTTGGTGCTCATGACCCCCTGTGGTTGACGATACTTGACCTGCGATGCTGTTGTCGGTGCGAATCGCCGTTCCTCACCACTCCTCGACATGCAGGTGTCGTTCCTAGCACGCTACCGCCGCACACCGCAAGCGACAGCGCCACAACAGGCGGATGGCAATACAGAGGAGGAGGAAGTAGAGGAATTGGAGAGGAGGGCGCCAGCAGCAGACGTTGAAGACGCGCCGCCGGCCAAGAAGAGCAAAACAGAGCACCCGTCCTCGGTTCAAGGTGGCGATGGCGGTGGTGGCGGCGATGATGAAGCACCAAGCGGTGCCACCACAGCGACCACGACTGCCTCCACTGCACCAGCGACAGCAGAGGAGCGGGGAGGAAGCGGTGATGCGATGGTCACCACCGCAGATGGTGATGGGGATGATGCTGACGATGAGGAAGGACACATCGGCGCTGGTGGGCACGAGAACGATCAAGCAGCTTCAACAGCAA